CGGTGGACTTGGTGCAGCAGGAGTGAGGGGGTTCCTCCTCCAAGAGCCACAGACTGAACCCAGCCTGGCCCCGGCTCCTTTGCCAAATCTGTACAATGTTTGAAAAAGAAATCTGGGGTCATTTAGGAGAACAGAGTTTCCCACAAGTACCGACACCCAGATAATTCCCCACTGTCCCTTGCCAAGTGGGGCTTCCTACTACCTCGTCCGGGACACGGCCCTATCATTCACAGAGCCCAGGAACCAGCGGGGAAGGCTGGGGCAGTGAGAAATAAAACCGCAATCAGGACATCGAAACAAGTGGGTTAAACTCTGTATGTACATGAAAACCTACCGATCTGGAAAGAATTCAACCAAAACATTAGCAGTAATTATCTTGGAGTGAGGTAGGGTGGTGGGGAATTGTTTGTTTCTGTTTTAAATGTCTTCCTCTTTCATGTTATCTCAAAAGGGTAGCAGACAGGGCATTTTCCCATTAAACCCAGCAAACAAAAACACCGCCTTCCTCTTTTGCTCCTTGCTACGGGAGACACAACACCTGCTAGTCACGTGGCCTCTGTGGCCTCAGTTTCACGCTCTGTAAGACAGTTACTAACAGTCAGCACTACCCAGAGGAGCTGGTGGCCGTGAAGGAAAACCCCACGGCACCGTCCCATGCGGGAGCCATTAGCCACATGTGGCTATCAAGCCCTTGAAATGTGGCTGGTGCAGCTGCTGCAGCTTCTTTGGTGAAACACATGAACACTTTCTGTAAAAATGTCCAACGTATCAAAATCCCAGAAGGAATCTCTCGTGGAGCTAACAAGCCCAAAAGCTGCCAACAGGTTTGCAAAATCCAAGGTCCACGGGGGCTGGGCATGTGAGGCCAGTGAGCAGGGCGGGGGCGGGAGCAAAGCAGAGGGCCGGTGTCCCCTCAAGCAGGCAGCCCTTCCTCCACTCCCTGCTGCTTCAGGGACCCTGAGCCAGCCTTTCCAGATCTCTGGATTTTGAGGAGAAGCAGGATATCTGGATGTTTATATGAAACCTGCCAACTTTTAAATGTTGGTAACTAATACATTTTTTAAAAAACACCCCGGTGTTTGAGCCAAAAAAACAAGAAGTGACTCGAACGACCTTTTTCTTCCCCATCCTTGACTCAGAGCGTGGATCCTGGACGCGGCTCGCAGGCCTCCAGGCTCCCCGAGGGCAGACGCCTGGGTATTCTGGCCAACTGCCTACCTAGTCCTTGACCAACCCACCTCTGTTCCCGGCCACCCTCGATGCCTGCCAGTACCTCTTCAGCCCTAGAGACCCCCTCCCCTGGCAACCGGGCATCTCAGGGGACGCGCAGGCTTCCCGAGCCAGCCCTTTGCCCTCCCTGGCTCTGTGCTGGGGGCCAGCGTTGCTCTCCTGCCCGGATCTGCCTGGGCAGAGCTGTGGAATGGGACCCTGTGAGGCACATCAGACCTGGCCCGAGGCTCCCGAACGCCTCTCCTAATTTGGGGAAATTGGTGCTCCTGGCTTGGGAACGGCGCAGGAACAGGAAGCAGGATCTCTGGAGGGAGGTGGAGCAGGTGAGGTGAATGCCCAAGAAAGGGTGAAAAAGGAAAGCAGGGCAATCTCAAGACAGAACGGCTGCTGTCCACGTGCAGGACTCAGAACACTGGGTTCCGAAAACGCTTTGCCCAGGGGTGACCGGGGCTTAAGCAAATGAGGGGGATCCTGTCACAGACCTCGCTCTTGGCAACTCAAGGTGCCCATTTGCATCCTAAAACTCCTGTAATTTAAAAAAACAGCCCTGGCCGGTTCGGCTCAGTGGATAGAGCGTCGGCCTGCGGAATGAAGGGTCCCGGGTTCGATTCCGGGCAGGGGCATGTACCTTGGTTGCGGGCACATCCCCAGTGGGAGATGTGCAGGAGGCAGCTGATTGATGTTTCTCTCTCATCGATGTTTTTAACTCTCTATCCCTCTCCCTTCCTCTCTGTAAAAAATCATAAAAAAAAAAAAAAGATGCAGATGCTAAAAGCCAACACTACTTTTCTCAGGTCTTTAATAAATAAATAAATAAATAAATAAATAAATAAATAAATAAATAATAAAAGTAGTGTAACGTCAACTCGCTATTTGCCAAACTTCTTTCACCCGGAACTCCACTCTCCCCAGCACCCCTGGCTCAGTGGGATCCCATGTGGGGCAACGGGGTGGCAGTCACCTCCCAGCCTGTGCAAGCCACATGGACTAGTTGGCTGGACAGCAGGACTGCACAGATGGAGCCTGGCTGGGCCTTGCTGACATACTGGGGTCCATTCCAGGGACCTGGGAGTAGCAGCTGGAGCAAGGCTGGGGGACGGGAAGCCGCCTGCCTCCGGACTGGCGTCGGTCACCCGCATGTAGAGCCATCAAACATGCATCACGTGTTTTAGCATGTGCCAGGCCTTTCCCCTAAATGAACTCATTTTAGTTCCCACATCACCCCGTGGGGGGAGGGTCCTCACCCACTGACCGGCGAGCGCTGAGAGGGGAAGGACCTGCCCTTGGCCGCCTGCGTGCTGCCCACACAGACTTCACCCTCCGGCGTGTGCGGAAGCACACACTGGCCTCCTCCGCCCTGTGGCTCCAGTCCCCTCAAATCCCCCGTGAGTGTTGGAATCACAGATACCCGGCTCCACCCCAGAGATTGACTCAAAGCGCCTGCGGTGGGGCCCAGGCGTCTGTATTTCGGGGGAGCTCCCCAGGTGATTCTGACAAACAGCCAGTATGAGAAAGAACTTCTTCAGTGACTCCTCAGGCAGCCCTTGGTGGGGGCAGAGGGCAGTCAAACGCTGGCTCTGTGGATGAAAAGGGGGCACAGACGAAACCTGACAAGCTCAGGGGAGGCCTGCCTGACGGGCCTTACAAACTCAGGGACCGGAAGTAACCACACAGGGTGGTCTGAGCATAAAGCTTCCTAACCAAGGGAGAGTCACAGAGGGTCGTCACATCCTAGGCCCATAGCTTCCTTGACAAACCTCAATCTGTACCTTAGGTGAGCCTGTCATTTTGCATCTAAGATAACGTACCTTTGAAATGTCAGCGTTATCTCCTTTACAGACACCCCCCCAGGGAACAAGCTCCCACCGGATCAGGAGACCACAGAACCCCTCATGGTATCTTGTTCCCAGAATCCCCTCTCCACGTGCTGTAAATGATACTCAGTACCTGTCCGGTGCCCTTCCACGCAAAAGAAGTATGTGTCTACCCATTTTACTTTCTACCCAACCCCAGAGATTTCTCCGAGTTGCTCTCCCGCCTCCCTCATCTATCGCCAATGAATTTTAAGTAACCGCCCCCCTTGGCCTCCCCTTTAATTCTGATGTATAAAACAAGTGGTAAAACTGACATTTTTTTCTGGAACATTTTCTCAATCCATTGAGATTTTGCTTCCCCGCAATTGTCATCAGTTGGGCTCAAATAAACTCATAAAAATTCGTATAGGTTTGGACGTTTCTTACGCCAACAGCTCAATCTCATTTGACCCAACTGTCCTTCTGACCTCCACTCTGAGTGTCCCAGGTACGGGGTGGGATGTCAGTTCCTATCTTCCTGTCTTCCTTGCGTTAAGGGAAAGGGTCCCTGATGGGGTGAGGAGGAGGGTGGGGCCCGGAGAGAGGGCAGAGCTGCCAGGCCCTGGATGATGCACGGGCCAGTGGGACACTCGGAGGGCAGGTTTCTGGGGATGAGCACCTTCCCGCCACGGGACCTTCTTGCTGTGCTTGGTGGGAGACTCGGCTGCAGCCCTGGGGTGCAGAGGGAACGCGGGGTGGGGGCCAGTGTGGGTGGCAGGATGCCCTGGCCACAGCTTCTCCTGAGGCTTCTGTCTTGACTCCCGGAGGGAGCAGTTTTCTGCGTGTGAGCTGGAGGGCTGTGGAAAGGCGCGGCCTGCCTCTTGGGTTCCCAGCTTCCTTTCCAGGACCTGACTGGTGTGTGCAGGGGCAGGGAGGGATGGGGGGCCGCTGCCCCCTCTCCAGTCTCCTCTGAAGGACTGGGCGTGGCTGCTCTCTCTGCCCACCCGTCACCCCAATCGCACACACCACCTCCTCCCACACGAAGGGCCCTGCTTACTCACCTTCTCGATGACCCCGACCACCCTGCAGCCCCTCAGCTGCTCCAGGGCAGAGCTCAGTGTGCGGATGGGCCGGAGCCTCAGGCTGCTGAAACCCTGCGAGGGGAGACAGGCTCAGGCCCAGCCCTCCTCAGCCAGGCAGTGGGCAGGGCCTCCAGCTGCCGGGGGAGCACAGGGAGTGGGCAAGAATGGGGTACGGTCCAACCTCACCTCACAGGGACAGGCTAGCAGAGAAGCTGGTCCTGACTTGGGCAGGGGGGCCCACACTGCCCTCTTCACTCAGCACCCCCCTCCCCTCCCCCGCCGCAGCCCTTCTCCAAGGCTCAGGGAGTCCTTAAGGCTTCAGAAGCCACCCTAGAAAGCCCCATCTCCAGGAGGCAGATGCTCCCGGGGGTGGGGAAATAACCTGGGAACGTGTGGATCCCAGGGAACATGCCTCGAAGACCAAGGCATGTGGCCCAGGCATGTGATTTGGGGAAAAGTGAGCCTAGGAGGGGTGCGTGGGCAAGTCTGTGCACACCTGTGGGCATGAGAGGTGTGCGTGCATTTTCAACCCCCTCTGCGTGCGCACTGGGTTAGGAGAAGCCATATGGGGAAAGCATCCGTGCACATCTATGTATGCATGTATGTGTATGTACACACGGCGGTATTCGTGTCTGCTCCAAATACTGAGGCCCATTCAAACACAAACAGACCTGGGAGCCTTGCAGTGTGTGCACATGCGAGCATGTGTATGAGCCGTGGGCGAGGGTGGGGAGATGTGTGTGTGTGTGCTCTGTGAGGGCGGGAGACTGGACTGGGGATGATTCACTAAGTGTTGGAAAATGAATGAACTACAGAGGGTGTGGGAGAGAGAGGAAGCCAAAGGCGGGGGGGGAGGAGGGCCGGTCCCGGCATACCACTGCCAGCCCAGCCCTGCAGCCCGCTGGCCCACAGGCGGGGAGCGGCTCCTCACCGTGCCAGGGCTGGCTCCGCTGCCCAGGGTCCTCTGCAGGTGGCAGTTGAAGATCTCCTCTGCCCGCCGCAGGTACTTGGCGATTTTCAGCTTTACAGCCTCACATCGCTCCTTGTTGGGGTCCACTGTGGGGGGAGGGGGTTACCAGGACCCGCCCTGCTCCCCTCCCTGGCCCTGGAGGGCTGTGGTTCTAACTCCCATTGCCTGCCCTCTGCCCTCCATAGGACAGGGTGCCCAACTCTGAGGCTGGTCAGCAGATCCTGCCCCACATCTGTTCCTGAGCCCCTCCTCTGGGAGGGAGACTGGCGGGGGAGGAGGAAGGAAGATGGCAGGAGGGGTTGGGAGCTGCGGTCACCCTCTGCCTACAGCACTTTGCAGCTGGCACCCACCACCTCGCTGGCCGCCGTCACACCGTGGGCAGGGACAGAGTGGGATTTCCATGTCCATTTTCAGAGGAGACAGAAGCTCCCAGAGAACATGGCTTCCTTCCTCTCTGGTGCCCAGTGTGAAAAAGGCCAGAGAGGGATCAGGATTGGAAGACAAAGGAATTTGCTGGACAGGCCTGCAGCCCAGGCACTGAGGGGTCTGGTCAGCAGGAGGGTAGGAAGCACAAATCAGGGCCTGACTCTACCCGAGCCTGGCCACCAAGGCCCTGGGTCCCACACTGGCCTCAGGGCCAGCCTCTCCCCCAGCTTGGAAATGCCTTACTTTGCCCTGAACGGGCCCCGCCCCACCCCTCCCCTCCCCTACCCACCCCTCCAGGCTTTGCTGTTCTCTCTCAGGAGCTCTGCCCGACCTTTCAGCTGGACAATGCACCTGCGATTCTTCAGTGCTCCGACTAGAGTTTGGACTTCTAGAAAAATCCCCTAGGCCGGCCGCACCTGGACTCAGTTTCCCTCCCTTCACTTCCTCCTCATTGCCCTTCACACGAGACTCTAATTGTCCATCATCAACTCATCAGCCTACCCCCATTACACACGAGCTATGTCACTGCCCTGTGCCTGTTTCCTCATTTGGAAAATAGGAATAAAAATAGTTCCTATGTACTTGGAGCTCCATGCAACAACATACATAGTATCTTCTATTACCGTGAGGTTCAGGTGAGTTAATACAGGCAAAGCCCTTGGACCGGCGCCTGGCATGGAGGAACTGCTCGATAAACGCTCGCTGTTATTAGTGTCTTTCGGAGAGGCCCGCGGGCCCCGTTCACCCAGCACGGATGGACAGATGAGGGACGAGCTCCACCAGCCCCTCCCTCCCCAGCCCCTGTCCCCGCGCAGCCCAGCCCAGCCCTCACCGTGCACGCCGCGCAGCAGGACGTCCACGCTGTTCTGGTAGTGGTTGAAGGCTGCCTCGTAGTCCTCGCTGACATCGCGCTCCAGGGCCAGCCGGATCTGCGTGGCTGCGTCCACCAGGTAGTCTCGCTTGGCCACGTCAGGTGCCCCCGGAGCCACCCGGTTGCGAATCTGCTCCAGGTACATGCGGGCCTGGGACGGTGCTCGGGAGCAGGGCTCAGGCTCCTGCCCAGGGCCAGGGGGGCACTCGCAGGCCACCAGGCTCATGGCTGCTGCCCTGCAGGTGCGACCTGGGAATGAGCAGATGCATGAGGGAGGACCCAGCTCGGACCCCCGTTTGCACCTGGGTTTCCTCCCCTGAATATTCAGAGACTAACACCTGGGTGGAGGCGGGGCGGGGGGGCGCGGCCTGTAGGGTCAGAGCTAATGTGGGTAAAGTCCTTTCACCGAGCCAGGTCTTTCCTAAGTGGTGGAAACAGAATAAGAACACGCTTGGGGCTCCTCCCTTCAATTCAAATTCAGTTCAACAAGCATTTCTTGAGCACTTACTAGGTGCTGAGCACTGGCGAGAGCTGAAGGTATCTGTGACCCAGAGCTGCCTTCGTGTGGCACAGAGCACCCCCATGTCTGTCACACAGTAAACACAACGGAGGCCGCACTCTGAGGCCGAGGCAGGGCCGTTCCTCACACTGTTCCCCCTTCCTGCTCCTCCCACGGGAATCTCACTTTCCCTCCCCATTCAGCTCCGGACAGAATGGCCAGCCCCTGCTCTGTTTCCCTTAGTGCCCAGGTCAGTGTGGTCAGGGGTGAAGACCTCCCACACCGCCCAGCAGAGAGCTGGGCACAAAGCCAGGCCTTCAAGCCTGTGGGCAAGTGCAATGACCCAGTGGCAGATGGATGGAGTTGGAGGGAGGAGGGCAGGGCCTACCCAGCCCTGGGGAGGGGATGGCTCTGTTCTCCTGGCTCCCTCTCTGAAGCCAGGAGCCCACGTGGCCAGAGACCGGACAGCAGCTCCTTTCTGAGCGTGTGGGCCACACGTGGCCAAAGGGACAGAGAAGTGGCTGCGGCCAAGGAAAGGGCTCGGAGAGAGGCCAGCAGGGCTGCCCCTGCCCCTCTCTGCAGGGCGCCCCTGCTCTCAGGCCCCAGTGGGAAGGAGCCGGGCCTGAACTCCCCATCCCAGGCACGCCCGCCTCTGTAGAGAACGGGAGGAGAGAACAGGATGGGGAGTGGGGCGGGAAGGGAAACCCACACCCCGGGGCCAGCGGGGAGCTGCACCCTGGCCAGCCTGAGGCCAGGAGGTGCAGGGAGGGACTCGGTCCAGCCACCCCACCCGGGACAGGACATGGAACTCGGAGGCCTGTGCTGAGGCCTGAGGCCGGTCCTGCGGGCAGAGCCTGGTGGGTAGAGCCGCAGGACGAGGCCTGGACACAGAACGCGGCGCGTCCAGCCCGTGAGTTCCAGGCACGCGGGGGCACCACCCCGCTGGGGTCAGGCCGAGGAAGGTGAGCTGGGGAGTGAGAAGAGGGGGCATCCTCGCCTGGGAGGAGGGATGGTGAGGAGCTGGGCAAACACCGTACCTGCCCGAGCCAGGAGCTCGGTCCGCGCGGCCACGGCGCCACCACCGCCCCTTCGCGTCCGCGGGGGATCCTGCACCGGGACCCGGCTTTGCGCCCTCCAGCCGGGTGCGGGCTTCTTGCCGGGTGCGGGCGGCCATTGGCTGCAGATGAGCTCAGCCTCTAGCTGTTGGAATAAACCACCAATCAGCGCCCAGCTCGGCTGCTGCCGGCCCCTAAAGTCGCAGCGTAGGCGGGGCGGAGCGCTAGCGGGTGGGGGCAGGATTGGGGAGAGGGTGGGTACAAGGACCTCTCCCGGCTTTGTTCGCTGGTGTCCCCCAAGTGCCTAGAACAGCGTCTGGCACACAGTATGGCTAAATAAGTATTTGCTGAATGAATGAATGAATGAATGAATGGGCTTTGAAGTGTTTGAAGAGGGCGGTGGAGGAGAAAGTTCTGGGCGAAAAATATGTATAAATGCCTCAAGAAATCAAGGGAGAAAAATAACATCTGCACATCAAACAGAGGATGTAAAATCTTTTGATAAAATTTAACACTCATGCATGATAGAGACAAACTCTTTACTGAACAAAATCTAAACAAACTCATGGACTTAATCCTTAACTTGATAAAGGATTATCTACTAGAAACTGGGAGCATATGGGATGTAACTTACATCATATGCGGTGGTGGACATGAGACCCATTCCCACGGTCCTTCTGGCATAGGGTAGGGTCACACTTCCCTCCCCCAGTTAGGCTTGGCCATGGAACTTGCTTTGAAATGCCAGTGGGCAGACATGGGTTACTTTACAGTAGAAGCTCCAAGAGCCAACCCATAATTCACTTGCCCCTTCCACCATGGTTATCGTTCCATGTCCATGGAGGCATGGAACGTCCATCCGCCTGAGTCTCTGAGAAACAACACTAAGGAACTCCTCCCCGCTCCATGGCTTGTATTGGACATGGGGTGTAAGCGAGAAATGCATTTTTAAAAAAATATATTTTATTGATTTCAGAGATGAATGGAGAGGGAGAGAGATAGAAACATCAATGATGAGAGAATCATCGATTGGCTGCCTCCTGTACACTCCACCCCCCGGCTGGGGATCAAGCTGCAACCCAGGCATGTGCCCCTGACCGGAATTGAACCCAGGACCCTTCAGTCTGCAGGCCAGCACTCTATCCACTGAGCCAAACAAGCCAGGACCTGAGAAATGCATTTTTATTGTGTTAAACCACTAGATTTTAGGATTGTTACTGCAGCATACCTTGACCTATCTTGAATGATATACCAATGCAGTCAGAAATGAATCAAAATACTCTTTAACAATACACTGGAAGTTACAGTTAATGTAATAAGAAATTAAAGCAAACATGAGGTTTAAAAATTGAAGGGAAGAGACCAAATTGCCATTATTTGTGATGATGTGATTGTTCACCTGGAAAACCCAAAGCAATAATTGGTGAGTGCAGCAAAATGTCTGGATACTAGACCAATATTTTTAAAAATATGTTTTTATGTATTTTAGAGAGGAGAGAGAGAGAAAAACATGGATGTGAGAAACATAATGTGCTACCTCCTGCACACCCTTTACTGGGAATCGAGCCTACACCACCAGGTGACCCTTTGGTGCAGGGCACTAGATCAATATTTACACATCAAGAACTTTCCTATATATCAGCAATAATAATTTGAAAATTCCTATATAATAAAAGCCTAATATGCTAAATGTCCGGTCATCCGGTCATCTGTTCAACCAATCAAAGTGTAATATGCTAATGATATGCTAAGGCTGCTTGCTATGACGTGCACTGATCACCAGGGGGCAGATAGTCAATGGGTCGACCAGTCGCTTTGATGTGCCCCGGGGACAGATGCTCCGACTGGTAGGTTAGCTTGCTGCTGGGGTCTGGCTGATCTGGACTGAGATGGCCGGACACGCCCTGGAGCCCTCCCACTGTCCCTCCCCAGCTGGCCAACCTCCAGAGAAACAGAACCAATAGTATGGATGGCTAGACAGACAGACAGATTTCTTATGACAAGACATAGGCTCATGAAATTATGGAGGCTCAGAAGACCCATGACCTGCCCTCTGTGAGCTGAGAAAAGCTTTTCCGCTGCCTGGGAAAGCCTCAGCATAACGCCTATGGAACATCTTACGTAAATCTTAAAACTACTAGTTACTATTACTAATCCTTACTTATACCTGCTAACACCAAGGCAGAGAGAGGTTAAGAGGTTAAGCTTATACAGTTAGGAAGTAGGAGCACTAAGAATCAAACCTTGACAGTTTGGCTCCAAAGACCCAGCTCTGGAGCACTATGCTGGTCACACACACAGCTCCTAACAGCGGTCTATCCAGGGAGTAGAGGCAGGACCTGGACCTGGGGAGGGAGCAGGCAGTGGTCAAATAAAGCTCCACAGTTCCTTTTAATGTTCGATGTTTTTAAAGAACAGAGTAAACTGGTATATATCTGTGATGTTAAAATTAACTTTTAAAAATTATATGTTAAATTCTATACATGTGCTGAGAAAGTCATTTTTTCAGAAGAGAGTGAATAGGGCCCTAAGGAAGTAGACCGTGTTTCCTAAGCTTCTCATGGTGCACGAGACCCGGTGTGGTAGGGAGGGGTGTTGGGGATTCTTTCCTGAGGAAGTGCCTTTGAGCTGACTTATGGGTGATGCAAGTTTGTTAGTCAGCAAGGTTGAGAGGTTGGGTGTGGGAGGTGGGGAGAGATTTCCTGGCAGAGGAAACAGCATGAGCAAAGGGCCTGAGGGGACACCACAAATTTCAGGAACCAAGAAAAGACAAGTGTGTCAGACCTTAGAGAAATAGGCATGAGATGAGGTTGGAGAGGTGGGAAGAGGTCAGACCTCATGGAGGCCTCCAGGTTGAAGAAAGGACTGGGAGTTTAAGAACAACAAAATGCTGACTGGTACCATGGAAATCTCTGGAATCCCTTTGGCACGGCTGTAGTGAATGGAAATGCCAAGAAAGAGACAAAAAGTGTAGACAACTCTCAAACGCCCAAGAGCCGCATAGGGAGGCATTGGAAGGAGCATGTGCAATCGAGGGGTTGGTTTGATTTTTGCTGCTGTTGTTATTTTTATGATGGGAGAGACTTCTATACACAAAGACATATCCACAAGGATGTTCCTCATATAGCATTGTTTATTATAACAGCAACAAAAAAG